CCCCTCTCGCTTTGTGTGTCCCCTCCCCCCGGTGCACCCCCAATGTCCCGTCCCCCCCCAGTCTCTGTCCTCCAACCTCCTTCCCTCCGTCCCTCCAACCTCCACCCATCCTTCCACCCTCTGTCCCGCCATCCCGTCATCCTTCAACCTCCATCCCTCCATCTTTCCAGCCTCTGTCCCTCCAACTTCTCTCTCTACCCTACATCTTCTTCCTCCATCCCATTCTTCTCCATCCCACTGTCCTCCATCCCACTGTCCCCCATTCCATTGTCCTCCATCCCACTGTCCTCCATCCGTCTGTCCTCCATCCCACTGTCCATCCCTCCATCCCATTGTCCTCCATCCCACTGTCCTCCGGCGCCCACCCATCGGCACGACAATGTTGGCCAGGATGCAGATGCCGGCGAGCGCCAAGGAGCCGCTCTGGGCCACCCGCCGCCCCAGGCAGCTGATGGCCAGCACCGAGGCCAGCTTGGCCGGGATGTCCACCGCCCCGAAGACCAGCTGGCTCAGGTAGATGTCCACCCCGAAGCCCTGCAGATCCATGGCCAGCCCGTAGTAGGCGAAGCTGGTGGAGAACCTGCCCCCAAAACCCAACGTGTCAACGCAAAACCCACCGGGCACGACCAAGTGGGGACCGAAAAGGGGGGGGTTGGCCCCCCCCCAAAAGGGGGGGGGGTTGATCCCCAAAAGGTGGGGTTTGACCCAAAAAGGTGGGGTTTGTCCCAAAAGGTGGGTTTTGATCCCCCAAAGGTGGTTTTTGACCCCAAAAAGGTGGGGTTTGGCCCCCCAAAAGGTGGGTTTTGATCCCCAAAAGGTGTTTTTTGCCCCCCAAAAAGGTGGGGTTTGCCCCAAAAGGTGGGGTTTGCCCCCAAAAAGGTGGGGTTTGATCCCCAAAAGGTGGTTTTTGCCCCAAAAAAAGGTGGATTTGGGCCCCCAAAAGGTGGGGTTTGACCTAAAAAGGTGGGGTTTGCCCCAAAAGGTGGGGGTTTGCCCCCAAAAAGGTGGGGGTTGCCCCCCCAAAAAGGTGGGTTTGGCCCCCCAAAAGGAGGGGTTTGGCCCCCCAAAAGGTGGGGTTTGCCCCCAAAAGTGGGGTTTGACCCCCAAAAGGTGGGGTTTGGCCCAAAAAGGAGGGGTTTGACCCCAAAAAGGAGGGGTTTTCCCCCAAAAGGTGGGGTTTGGCCCCCCAAAAGGTGGGGGTTGATCCCCAAAAGGTGGTTTTTGGCCCCCCCAAAAAGTGGTTTTGCCCCAAAAGGCGGGTTTTGGCCCCAAAATGGCCCCACTTGCCAGACGAAGGAGACGCCGCAGGAGACCGTCCTCATCCCGGGGGTGCGGACCAGGGTGGCCAGGGCCCCCCCTGGCAGCGGCGGCTCCCGGCGCACCAGCGCCCGCAGCGCCTGCGG